GTTACGGTTTAGGTTGAAGTCACATCAGCTAACAGCTCATATTAACATGTACAGTGGACAAATCCATACGCTGCCACAGCTATTATAAACCACAAACATGTGACATTTGGCGACCAATCAGCTTATCTATGCTAGCCACTCGTTAGAAATTCGTCTTAACTGAATGAGCTTTAGTCAGAAGTCATTAGCGGCCACATAAGTCTACGTCATGGTGCCCGTTGCTAGTCAAACCCCCAGAATGCTCTGGAGTTGCCAACACAGAGCTGGACTAAACTATTCAACACAAACGAGAGGCTCCACCTGGTGGTGCAGCCAGGTACTACAGTTAGCTTTTCGGTTAGTATAGTTTTAATTGGTTGAATTATCAACAACAATTTATCTCTTAACATTTAATCAATAACATCTTTAAATTTAAAGACATACGACCCTTTCCCGACACGTTTGAGGCTGAAAAGGACCAACAGTGACGCAAAAATAAATAAAAGTTGATTTAAATTTGTGGAACATTACAAACAAACAAAATCGAGCAGAATTACGTTTAGGATCCAGTTGAGTTGTGTAAGGAGGCAATTCAGGAAAGAGTTTTGCTCGTAAACAGACCTAAAACTTTAATTCAAGGCTAATATGAACTCTACAGGTAAAATGACCCTTGGATTAATTGTCAGTTCTGTTTTTTTAAGGCTCATTTTAAGCCTGTTTTGTACCTTCTGTTTTCCTTAAACCTTTAATTTTATTCTTTTATTGTTGTGCCAGGAGTTAGACTGCAGCGTCTGAAACTTTAGCGCTGCTGCAAAACGAGGTTGCTGACCTCACTGGGATTGGTTAAAAAAATACATAAATAAAAATTAAAATAAATAAATCCATGAAGGTGGAATTTACCGCAGGGCTGCAGCAGTTTTAAATAGGTGCACCTAATAAGCTGGAAACTGTGTAAAAATATTCCTCGACTAATGATTAACATAAAATAATAGGCATAGAGTGATGTGATGTAACCGGCGCTCATTAATATTCTCAAAAGAAGAAGTGATGCTTTTTAGTCGGAGCTGCTCGCGAGGAGTTTTGCTGCGTCTGCTATCTGCTTCTGGTCGGGAAGAAGATTGGAGGGGAAAAAAAAAAAAAAAACCCATATTGATTTCCTTATTAGAATAATGCAATTAATTACAGATACGGACGGGAGACAAAGAACTCAGAATTATCTCCTGATACGTTTCAGGAAAATCCCGACGGAGGTTTGCGGCGGCGGCGCTGAGAGAGCGCTGAGCAGAATAGACTGTGAAGGTAGTAAAATGATAATGCTTGACCGTTTTTGACCTTTGGGTTTCTGCGCACAGGATTCACACACAGCAGTGTAATAGATGCAGGGAAATGTTTCTCATGATTCCCCGCATGTAGCCATGACTTAAATGTCAGAGTGGCACAGATGTCGGAGAAGTTCCCGGGCTTCCATTGACCACGGACGACCCTTTCTGTATCTGATTAGGACGGCTTATCAAACCTACGGGGCCGCTTTCCCAGATATGTAGATCAGGCGAAATGTCAGCGCTACGGTCGCTAAGCAGCGGGTCCATAAACTTCCCGCCTGCGCTGTAGATCTGAGTAAATAATCTTGTGCACAAAGCATTTACATGGAAGAAAAAAAAAACACAAGTGCTGCAAATTTTTTCGAGTTCCGTCAATTGCAGCCGAGTTAACTCCGATTGGAGTTGGCAGAGCTGTTCGCCGGCTCTTTGCTTTGGCAAGATTAGCGCGTGCATTGACGATCGGGCTTATGTTAATGAGGTTTAGCGGGAGGCCGGGATCACAACATGTAAAAACACAGAACCGTGCAGAAGCTGATTGTGATCGACGGCGGATCGTTCTGTCGCGGCCGCCTCAGGATTTATTCTATTCCCAAAAAAAAAAAAGCCAAGACGTCGCTTAGGAGTAAAGGAATCTCTAATCGTTCATTACAAAGTCAAATCATGGCTTCCTTTATGGGTCATTTAGTCGGTTAAACTGATCCGCTGCACAGTGGTGCCAACACCAGCAAGCTCCCGCTGTGAAAATCACTTGATTGATTGTACGAGTGTCTCTGCATTTACTGTACCTCTGATTACCGCCCGCAGACTCCAGCACGCAAGAACGGATTCAACGTATAACATCCACAGACGTTCATTTAAACTCCCCGGGACCTCAGATAGGATCTTCTAAATGCACTAATGAACTAGAATACGCTTCACGCCTTATCTTCTGGAGGTATTTTATCCTTTTCTGTAGCGCGCTACAATGAAAGTCATTGATGCTACGATAGCGTTCACTGTAGACGTGTGAGTCAGAGACGCATCGACAAACCGCAAGAAATAAACAAGGACAGAAGCTAGAATGTGGGTGAGGGTCAGGATCTGTTGTGTAACACGACAAGGAAAAATCAAGGCAGGATGTTTGTTTGTAGATTTTAGCTCTTTACACAGTTTTGCTGAAACTCAACCTCCTTCGTCTTCGGTGCTACTCCTTGAGCTCTAAATTCACTCGTTTGTTTTTGTATTTGTTGATGAATCAGCTCAATAAAACAGAAAATGAAGAGAATTTAAAACAACTGGTTTAGGAAACAGGTGCAGCAAAACAAGGAGTAAAAAAAAACATCCCAGAACCCCATGGAACCTGGTTCATGAAGCCATCCAGGGACCTGCTACCCAGAAGCACCATGATGCTGTCACCGCCATGCTAACAATGAGGATGTGACCATGTACAGGGTTTGGTGTCTGACAAACGAAGCATCGAGTTCCAGCTCAATTTTAGTCACATTAGACCAAAGAACCTACTTTCAGTTGACTTCAGAGTCTCCCACATGCCTTCTGGTGAACTCAAGTTCAGATTAAGTCTGTTTTTCTTTCAGCAGTTTCTTGATCTTTGTCCCTTAAAGCCATAAAGCTTTGATGAGAAATGAACAGGCAACAGTTGTTGTATGAACAGTCTCTACCATCTCCGTCATTGAAGCTTGTAATGTCTTCAGAGGAGTCATAGGTGTCTTGGTGGCCTCCTTCACTAGTCTTCTTGCTACTCCTTCAGAAGACTCATACATATCTTGATGGCCTCCCTTACTAGTCTCTTTTAGTCTCCTTCTTGTAACTCCTTCAGAGGAGTTGTAGGCGTCTTGGTGGCCTCCCTCACTAGTCTCCTTCTAGTACCTCCTTTAGAGGACCTTGGTGGCCTCCTTCACTAGCCTCCATCCAGCCCAGTTGCTGACTTTGTGAGGATGATCTGCTCTCGGTAGATTTCGGCATTTCTGAGTTCTCTTTACTTCCAGTCCGAGTTGTGCTCTTTCCATAGAAGTTCAGGAGTTTCTGAGTTTACTGCAGTGAAACTTGAGCCCACAGTGAAGAACAATGTGAGCAAAACCCCAGAATCAGCATGGACTTTAGAAGCTTAGTGTGCAGCTTGTGTTTTGGTGACGACATGTAAAAGAAATAGTGACACTTGGTTTAAGAAGGTTACCGTGAAGTCAAACCCAAAGCGGTGGTTTAGACAAGTTGAAAATTATGAATATTAACAGCATCACGTCCCAACCCGGACCCACCAGCAGAACCATGGAGCTGATTCTGTCCGTCCTGTGGGATCGACTGTGTTGTTTACATCCATACCTCTGATAGCTCCGCAGTCGGCTGCCCTCTGGCAGGTACTTCTCCAAACAGCTTGATGGCACTAAATTGATGTCATTATGTCATTGTTTGGTTCTTCAGCTGCAGCACTTGATCGCGTTACCAAAGCAGAGTTTAGTCAAAATTGGTCTCAAATTAATTTGAACATCTGGTGAAAAGCGCTTTCCTCGAGCAAGATGGCGTTCTAATTTCCAGAACCTCTTCATCATCGTTCCTCGTGATGCAATTAAATGGCCTCAAGGAAACAAATACAGGAGGTGGCACTGATGAGCAACCTTTACCTGTAAACCTGAATGTTTGTAGCACGACGTATGATGTGCTGCAGAGTTCACGGAGCCTCGGCTGAAAAAGCAAATTATGTAAAGTTTTTGTCACGTCATCAAAGTTCCAGATGACAAGAAAATTGCCTGAAAATGCGCCTCGCACTTCGAAAGAGCTCAAAGAATTCGTGTTTGCTTTCCAATCGGTGTCAGAAGTGGTGTAAAAGCCCGTCTCATGTCATTCAGACGGCGGCTTTTTCTCCCAGATTACACACCGAACTGAGTAAAATTCAGTAAAATCAATTAAGTGGCTGGCACTGCATGGCGTCTTTTCATTTGTCAGGAGCCGTCTGCAAAACTTTCATTCTGACAGATTTTCCTCCTTTTTTTTTTTTGCTGTAGCTGACAGACAAACCACTCTGGTAAAAAAAAAAGGAGAAAGAAGTAATGGAAGCAACCAACTTTAGAGGCCCGACACCTTTAGAGGCGGCGGCTGCACATGTGTTGCATTTAATGGGCCCATGTTGTTCGCAGCCTTTTTGTAGACGCGTTTTATTTATTTTTTATTCCTACAGATAACAAGCAAAGCGGTAGATAATGTGGTGTCAGAGCAGCTACAATAGTATTTGCCAGCAGAACTTTTTTTCTCTCCCGGCTGTCTCAGGCGTCAGCGCTAAACGTCAGATTTTGGTGTCAGACCCTCGGAATCAAAGAGAGAAAACTTCTTTTTAGATGAGCTTTTTTTTTTCTTTTTTTTGCAGCGATGTTGAACAAGAAGAGAGAGAAAAAAAATAAAATCCATCGCACAGACCAAATTTCTTCAGCAGCAGTCACGATCGCAATCATGATCAAAGACACGCTCCAGTGTTTACAAAAAAACAGACATATTCATGCCAGCGTATGTCCACCTTTGATTGAAATCAACAAGCTCTGCCCCGAGTCCTTTGGGACTGTCAGGAGGCATTTGGCAAACACAGAAAATCATTAAATGAAATGGAGACAGACAAGGCATGGAAAGTGGGTTTCTGATCAGTGAATTAGAGCGAATCCTGCCTCCGCCGTTCCTCACATAAACCTCACGGATGCGTGGCTCCAGACTCACCTCTTGCTGTAGATCCTTGATGATTTTGGTTTTCTTCTCCATCTCCACTTTCAGAAATTTGATCTGCGGACAGAAAAGAAAGACGGTCACACTCAGAATCCACCTGTGAGCACGTTTGGCGTCTCCAGTAGGAGTTGTGGGCGCTGAATGTGATCATTTAGGCGGCGGACGTGGCGCTAATTACACCGAACGAAGGTGATTCTGAATCGCAGCTCAGAGCCCATTTATTCCTACCGATGACATAAATCTTTAAAAATGGGTCACAAATATATACCTTCACAGAAGAAAAAGGTGTTAAATAATCTTCTAAAACAGCCCGCCAGTGGAGATTCACACTTCTGTGGTAATGAAGAAATGTGTCACTGTTTTATTTTTATGGGTTTTTACATCTGAATGAAGCTCAATGGAACAAAAACACAAGTTGTACATCAGGGTTAAGCCACACAAACAGGAATTAATGGTGTTGTTTTGTGTGGAATCCATTGATAATAAGTGAAACAGAGAATGCAGCCAGACTTGTCCTTAAATCTTGATTTATATCTTTTATATTTTAGTAAGTAAAGACTGTGCCACGTCGTAAAAAACTACATTCCTGCTCCCAGTAAGATTCAAAGCCACATTTTTCCCATTTTTCCCAGTGAGCCAGCCCTGGGGAACTAGAACACACCAGTTGACTCACATCGCTGAGTCGACCACGATAACATCCAAGGTCATGTTCAATCACCGTCACTGCCCCCGAGAACGGGAGACATGGAAGCATATAGAAAATAGAAAGGAGCAGAATGCTGTTTGAATTAAATTAAAGGTGCAAATGAGTCAAATTCTACTAAAGCAGCTCAAATAATCAGAATATTATGAAATAAAAAAGTTGTTTTTATCGATGATCATCTTCTGGACGACGTTCTTCTTTATTAAAGTTGTTGATGAACTAAATTAAACCAACAGACACAATATTTATACTGTTTAGTAATTTTCAAACTCAAAATGAAATATTTGTCATTATTTCATTTTTAAATTTGGATTTATTAATTTTATTTCTTTGCTGTTTGGCATACAATTAGAATAGATTTTTTTTTTACATTTTAATTTACATGTAATGAGTCGAGTATAAACATCACACTTCTTCATGATATTTGAATTCTTTGAGAGCATCCACCAGCTGGCCCAGTCTCCCAGAAACTACTTTCTAGTAAAATTAATCTGCATTCTCAGTTATGTGTTGAGGAAAACGTATTTTCTGATGCATAAAGTTTGCTTGTGACACATTAATTGATGCATGGTGACTTCTGCACATCTGAAGCTGTATTTGTAAATCCATTTTATTTCAGTCATGTACCTAAATCTCGTTGCTTTTCTTCCTTTAAGGCTGCACTTCTTATGTCATCTTGTTTTGTCTGAGCAACATCTGGCACGAGAATTTCATTTGGGGTT